ACGACGACGACGACGACGACGACGACGGGAACACCGGGAGAAGAGGAACGAAGCGTACGAACGAGGCGGCTGAAAGCACCGGAGAAAGAGTAGTAGGAGTAGTGCGAAGAACCAACGGCGAAGAGGGGTGTATCAAGCGGCGGTCCAAGGTGGGGAGGAACGATTTGGGTGGCAGGCGACGACTGGGGGTGGCTCTGAATCCCGGTGGTTGTCCTCTTGCTCTTGCCTGTCTGCCTGCTTGCTTGCTTGTCTGCTTGCCTGTCAGTCTGCTTCACCTGCCTGAAGGCTTGCCTGACTCTCTGCTGGCTGCTTGCTCGCCAGCTACCTCCGCTTTTGCTCGCCTTGCTTTTATCACTCGACTACTCTCTTTCTCACTGCCTCTCCTCGTGCTCTTTCTCTCCCTTTCCCTCCTCACCCCCCCCTCTCCCTCTCTCTCTCTCTCTCTCTCTCTCTCTGTCCGAGTGTGTCTCTTTGGTTGCGCAGGACTCGCCGCCGCGCGACCCGGCCAAACCCAGAACCCGGCGTATAGGTACCGCGGGCTCGCATTCGAGCTCCAGCTACCCCAGCTGCTCTATCCCCACCAGGCCAGCCAACCCCCCTCGGTCAGCGGTGTGCCGGGTGGACTCTGGGCCACGTCGTGTTTCACCTTTCGAATTCACCAGGCATTTCTCACCTGCTATACGCTATAATTCTCTCCGTTCAATTATTCGTATTTCAACAGTATTTCATTTCACACGTTGGAAAGTGTTGGATCGTAGAGGATGTTCAAGGCAACGTGTGCCAACGAGTGCGGATCGATCGATGATTAAATTCAATCGCAATTCAAAGATCATTCATTCCGTTCAGCCTCTCGGCGATTCTCGACGAGACGAAGATTCAAGATCACAATTTCACAGAACCGAATCTGTGACGATTCACCTTGGAGGGGCGGTGGCGAGCGGACGATTAACAGCAAGCTGGCGGGGGGGGGGCGGATAGGCCTGCATCGCAACCCTATGCGATGGCGGGGAGGGAGGGGGGAGGGTATATTAGCGAAATTTTATTTCGAGCGGCGGCTCGAAAACCGGCAATTACACCCTCTCGGAAGAGGCGAAAAGAAACGGCCGAGACGGTGATTCGCTCGAGGAGAAGACGTTGCTCGTCCTACTTTTCCTCCTCCTCCTCCTCCTCCTTCACCCCTTCACCCCCCCCCC